GGTCGGACGGTTGAAAGAGAACTTTTCAGCATTTCATCTTCAGTGTTGGTGGGCTGTTACATGTAACCAACCACATCGGGCTGTGGGTGTGACATCGCTTCAAACCACAGTTTGAGAGTTATGACTACAGATAGAGAGAGGTGACTGCAACAGAGAGAAAGCAGCATATTTTCAAACTATTTAATTGGAAAAAACATGCTGATAATCGGGAAAATGTGGACTATCAGATGTGATAATCAGCCTCATGATAACTGGTTGATCCGTTTATACTACACTGAGCATCCTTGGTGCTTTTTCCTCTTCAGCCATCAAAGCACCTCCTTTTCTTCATCCACTCGAAAACACTGCAGGCTTTAACTTGCTTTGAGCTGCTCCTTCCTACCTGTCCCTGTGTTAAAATGGGTCAGTGTTTTTCTCCTCTCCGTCGGTCTTGGATGGCTTGGTGCCTGGGCCAGTGTGCCAAACATGATCCTCACAGCTGGGTGAACACAGGGGAGGAGAAGGAGGGCAGCGCAACACACTGAGAGATTTCCCCCCTGCCTGCCAAATCTCTGTCCTGTTCAACAATGCCGTTGTGCGCTCGGCTCATTCAAGCACAAATGCAAACACAAAGACACAAACAAACATCAGAAAGTTTCCAAAGCATACATGAGCATCACCGGGTCACCCATGTTTTTTTTTTTTTTATGTTTCTGGTTGTTTAGTTATGTGTGTTCGCTTCCTAAAATTTGGAATAACATGTGTTTTCTGGCTCCGGCTGGCTGGAGGAGAAGTTTCACAATGTTCCTCACACCCAAAAACTGCAACAGGCAACATAAACACGCATCACCTCATTAGATTAAATGGACAAGAAGCCGGTCGCTGGGCCGGACTCCAGCCATTGACCACGACGCTGTTTCCTCTCTCTCTCACTCTTGGCTCGCTCTGTATTTCAATACCGTCTCTCCTGTAGTAGTTCATTCATGTATTTCACTCAAGGCCATCCTTTATGTCTTGCTGTCGCTCTCCAGCTCCTCTCCGCGTACTTTATTCCGTCTTTACAACAGCAGCAGCATCCAGTGAAGGTGTGGGTTAAACGAGGTTGTAACAACACGACGGGGAGACATTAAATGAACTTAAACATTTACACAAAGATCATAGCTGTGTAAACAGGAAGCTGGTGAAAATATAACATAATTGGACTGCGTCTGTGCACTTATTGATTAAATCAGTATTGTCTGATGTGCTCTTTCATGTGAAACCCGATATCTGTTTGCGCTGTGAAAACCTTGCTTAACACCGCATTGTGGAATTTATGCACAGTGGTTGTTTTATTTCATTTTCTCCATGTCACATAGATTTTTATGTTTGTCAAAAATCAATGCTGCAACGGTGATCTGATGGAGACTCGCAGAAAATGTTTACTGTACTTAATTATAACAGCAATCAATTACAATTACTGAATTGCTATTTAGTGTTGTAACAAATACAGTTCTGCAAATTTAATCAGTTAATTTCAGTCAATGAATTGTTTTGTGTTGAGTGGACGTCTTAGTTGTGCCCTGTTGTGTCTGCTACAACATGTATTCAATGTACAATAATGTAAAATAGAAAAAGAGAAGCACATCCTGGTGAAGCTACAACTAGAGAATATTTTCTGTTTGAGAAATTACTCAAACCATTAAGCGATTGCAGGTTAAATTTCTCAACTCATTTTTTTCAGCATCTACAATGCATTTATAGCCATGTTTGGACTGAACGCATAGCGGGATGACTTTATTACTCACTGCACATAATAACAATGCTTAACAAGTACTAATTTTAAGCTTGTTTAATGGGCTGTCTGCTGCTGCAATGCTTTATCCATTATTCTCCTCTCCTCTTCCAGGCGGAGTTGACGGGCATTAAATGGCGCTGCTACAGCTTCCGCAGTGGCGGGGAGTACGGGCCCGTAATCTCAGCCCCGGCCCAGGACGACCCGGTCCTGCGCAGCTTCATGCGCTGCGTGCAGGCCAACCTGCTGTGCGTATGGCGACGCAAAATCAAGCCCGACGCCAAGGAGTTGTGGATCTTCTGGTGGGGCGAGGAGCCCAACCTCTCTGATGTCATTCATCACGAGCTGGAAGGTGAGAATGAAAGAGATGAAGGATGAGGCTCGCTTCTCCCTTCTGTCCGTCTCAATCACTTTTTTCATCCCCTTCGCCTCGGCTTCCTTTGTGCTCTGAAAGTTTAGGTTAGGGGTTTGCACAGCCTGTATCGTTTTATGGCTGCGTTTTATTATGTTGCTTTAGATTATATAGACTGAGGAATTATTACAGTCGTCGTGCGGTTTTTAGTGGATTTTTATGAAAGAACGACTGAGAAGTGGTGAGATATGCGTTGGAGATGTGTTGGTAGATATACAGCGAGAATCTGAGGTGCACAAGTGGCAGATAAATTTGAGTTTTTACAGTGCAGCATAATGACTTATACATGAGCTGTGGTGGTGAGCAGCATTATGTAGATTCAAGCTGTTTAGTCGGCTGCACATTTGAGCGCGGCGCTGTTTGTTTAAGATGTGTAGGGCACATTGATCTGTTTTGTGCGGAGCCGTCCTATTTTTGACCCTCATGTAGCACGTATCTGAAATGTGTTTGCTTTTGCAGCTCGAGTGTTTATGTGCTGCTTCGGGTCTATCACTATGATGAAGCACGCGGCGATGGAGTAGGTTTTTCTCGCCGGTATTTACCGCATGTAAATGTGTGTGTGTGTGCGGTTGAAAATTACACTGAGATATCTCACTTGAGAGAGTGCTACTGTCAGCACTATTGTCCCTATTTATAGAAACATTTGCATTATCTCGCCGCGCACGTGTGTGCAAGTCTAACGTATCGACTAAGCCTCGGGAAGACAGGGAGAAGAGGAAACAGGAGAGGGATTATATTGGTGTAGCAGAACAACAGCGAGGAAGGAGTATTGGATGGAGAGGTTGAAGCAGTAGTGAGAATTTTGGTCTTCTGTTGCCTATTAAAGCAGACTTGATGTGAAAAGGGCTTTCAGGCACTGCAGTAGGTATTTGACAGATGTTCAAGCTGCTGCTGGGAAAGAACCCTTTACTCTGCACAAACATGTGTAATGCAGACGGATATGCTGTACGTTTTAATCGAGTTGCGCCGGCATCACTAACATACCAACTCTGATGTGAAAATTATATTTTCTTAGTGCTCATTGATTTTTTAAAAAGATCTATGGAGGCCGGTAACGATCACGAAAACACACTGTGGCAGTAATTAAGCTTTCGGAGCAAAAAAAAGTAAACGTCATTCCGCCAAGCCATAAAATAAGCATGTAGCCGTGTAAAATTTTAGCATTACCTCACCAATTTACAAGCGGCTAATGGCAGCCTAAAAAACATTGATTATAACTCTCTTTGAGTAGCACACCGAGGCCCAATAAACTTGACAATAATCTTAGTGTATTTAATCACATTTTATGGCTATTGATTTCTATTGCAGCTACCGGTCCAAGACTTTTCTCGCAATTCGTCTATTTATCCGTGAACACAATGGAGATGTGCTCTGCGAATGAGAGCTGAAAAGAAATTTGTCTCAGTTTAATACATTTGCAGGAAGCAAAACAGCATTTTTAGGGGTTAAAAAGATCTAAAAGAGAAAGAAAATAGTCGTCGAATATGTTTTTTTTTGTTGCATCTTCTGCTGTTGGTATTTCTTACGCGCTTCCCTCTTAAGGCTTGTTAAGAATCATTGATTTCATGATCAGGTAATCTGCTGTTAATCACTGATGTGTAAAAGAAAAAACAGAAATCTGTGAAAAATGCTCATCACAGCAATCTCTGCGAGTCCTGATTGATGTTAACAGATGTCTTGTTTTGTCTATCAGTGTAGTGCCGTAATATTAATTTTGCTGCAATAATAAGACAAGAAAAGGAAGGAAATTCTCAAATTTGAGCAGCTGGATGCATCAAATGTTGTCAGTTTTGCTGTTAAATGACACAAAGGATACATTTTTAACCAATAATGTGTTAACAAGAGTAACGCCAGTCTCCTGTGCTTTGTAGCGTAACCCTCTCATTAGTTAGCGTAACCTTGCAGTGCCTTCATTTCACAATGGACGTCGTTTTAATTGTATTTAGTCTCACTTGCTTGTCATTTTCCCCTGAACTGGACAGTTCCTGTGAGGTTTTAATTGAAGTGAAAATGGTTGGGTTTAAAGTACGACACCCCCCCCACCCCCTGTCTGTGAAGCCAAAGGCTGCTGGTCTTTTGGCGTCAGTATTTCCACTAATTTTTCTCATACTGGCCAGTTATGGAGAGCTTGTTAGTGCGGGGGGACTATTGAGGAGGATTATTCTACAACACAACAGATGTACGGACACTCACTCACACACACACACACACACACACACGCTTTCTGCATACAATTATGATGATAAGACTCCTTTACTTCTCTTGAAAAATGTCTTCGGTCTCCCTGTACGATTCCTATTAAGCACTGAAAATAGCACTTGGGGTGTGAAAAGGAGTTGATAATTGTTAATTAGTGAAGCTGGATTCCTTCCAAATTAGAATCAGTTGTAACACAGGGAATATCAGTGTTTTACTAAGTCTTAAAAAGCTACACACCTTAATTTTTATTCACTGTGGAAATCTTTGATGTCAGCTTTCTCTCTCTCCTTCCGTCTCGACTTCCTCTCTTCTCTTTCACCTGCCTTGTCTGTTCTTCGTGCGGTTCCTTCCTCGGTCCTCCTTCTGTTCTTGGCTCTCTTTGTTCCTCAGCTGACCGGGCCGTGACATAAACTATCTATTGATGTGATGCATGATGTGCTGAATTGTTGTTCTGAACACATCAAGAGCAACCCTAACTTTGGATGCAGTATATAAAAGCAGACGTGGGCCACAGTCAAATCTGAAAAACAGATGGCTTCATGTGGTATTCAAAGATAGAGATTCTAGATAACTACAGGAGAGACACGCATTTGTGGCGTGTTTGGTTGAACGTTTCCTGCGTTTACATCAAAAAAAAGCGCCATAAATACCTACAGCAGTAAACTCACCACATTGTAAATAATGTTTTATTTTGACCGCATTCTCTTTAAAACTCTCAGAGTCGACATCCTGCTTCGAGTTAAACGCGAACATCCGCCTGTTAACACAATGACAATATTAGTCATGGCATATTTACCATCTCGGTTTAGCATTTAGTCCTAATTTGCACGAAATGTAAAGACCAACTGAGGCTGATGGCAATGTAGGTTTCACAGATGTTTAGCCGGAAGTCGCTCGAGAAAAGGTCAAGAGGTAGAAGTCACAACGGTTCATCCTCTGGGTGCCATGAGCATCTGTATCGCTTTGTACAGGAATCCATCCAGTTGTTGTTTAAGCTCCGGCCTTGTACACACTAATATGGATATGTTTCTGGATCGATATTTGACAAGATATCTGTCTGTATGGCCATTGTTTTACAAAATACCTTTGTACTCTATATCACAATATGTCAATAACAGAGAATACTGTAATTTCATCATATCTGCGGCCCTTAAATCGACCAGATAATATTGGCCACATGAGGAGAAGCAGATGCTTTGCTGTGGAAGCAGTGCAGCAATGCCAAGTTAAATTGTAAACTTGTATCTGCTAATGCTAAGATGTAGAGAAACTGGTATGCATGTTGTTGTTGGGCGTGAATTGAGATGCGACATCAGATCAACCCTCAAAATGACTTTTACAACTAAACTGGATTCTCATTTAGACTTTAAATAAAACAGAATTTTATTGAGAAACAAACGTATTATTTTATAATGCATTTATAACACATTTATAATATATTATTTATTTATTTATTTATTATTTGCTTGTTAAGGTATGTTGATACATTCAATTTCTGACACTGGGTTTTTGTTTTTTTTAAAAATCTATTTGTAATTTTTCTTAGCCATGGAGATATAGGGAGGGCTACATGGGCAGGGGATATTCTTACTATGAAAATGTCCTAGGAAATGTCTTAAAGCGTTCACGTTTCAATTAAATGTTGGACTAAAATATCAATTAAAAAAAAAAAAAAAGAAGAGAGAAACAAATGTGTTTTCTCACCTGCTGCTGTTGTACGACAGGGTTCTAGTTTAGAAAAGACACAAAGTTCTGTGTTTAAAAGGAAGACGATGAGAATGGAGGCACAAGTCGGCACATTTCTTTAACTCGTGAGACCAGGATTGGCGTCTCGTGTTCAACTGTGATACTTAAATTTGTTTTTTAGTTATTGTTTGCTGTTGGTTTTCACTCTTTTTTTTTTTTTTTGGTTTGGTTTAGACATAAAACCGCTCGGTGAGATTTAGGAGAATATCAGGTTTTGGTTGACACTTAAAGGCTCGGGTAACTTTAGGCACCAAAAATACATGGTTAGATTTAGGAAAATAACATGGTTTGGGTGAGAATACAAAACTCTGACTACATGTTTGAAGCTTTTCCACCATTTTTTCCAGGGTGACAAGTCCCATGTAACATATGATTGGTTGGCTGAAACGGACTGTAAAGAAAATAAGATAAATGTTGATTTAAAATCTGTTTGTGAACAAAACAGGAAAAATGTTTCTCCTACAACGTAACTGTGAATGAAGTTTTGATGTATAGAAATGTCATTTTGCGGAGACAAGGCTGCACAGATACACACAAAGAAAGGTTTATTAAAAAAAATCAGCAGTTTCGATGCCCTTAAATGGCATCTGAGAGGCCGAAAATTATCCGCATTAATGTGGACGAGGTGTAAAACCAAACCTGTCAACTCCATGTTGATGTTAAAGTCAGGGGAACACAACAGTCAGGCTGATAGTTATTCAAATCTGCCCTAAGTGATGAACCCAGAAAAAGAACAGCTAAAAGGCATGCACAATCAGAGCTGCCCTGCTCCTGAACCTATTTCAAACTGTACAGTACAGTTTATGAGAAGCTGCTTTTCATTGTTGGTTGTTGCCGGAGTCAGAAGGTTTTCGGGGTTGATACACCGAGAAGCCGGTTGCGACAAACGAACGCCTGTTGCCGCTAATGCAGACCAGATCCGCGTATCAAACGGCGCCTCTTTACTTCTGCATCGAAAACCCACAGCCATTCAGAAATGATTTACTGTTTGATAC